AAAGTTTTACCATATATCTGTAGTAATTCAGTTAGTGAACCGAAATCAGAATTTTTCTGAACACTTTGCTTTGAGCTCTATTTCCGTTAAAATGTTAACTAGCCAACTTCTGTTTGTGGAAAGTTTGAGATTCCATGTTTTATTTTTAAATAATATATGAAACTTTTCTCCCCTATGGCATAGTTACATGCTATTTGATGCTTTTTTGCTTTGAGACTGAAAGCAGCTGTTTTGTTCTTGATACCTTCTCTGCTTTTAGACACAAAACAAACCAAAGATGACATGATGCTGTAGGACAGGGGAAACTGGAAAGATTCTGGTGGGAAAGAAGGAGCAGAGACCACAACCATAGCTTAGAGGAAGAGCTTCTCTCACTTGGCATTAAGCTGCATTTGATAATATTTTGAAGCACTTCACAGCAGCCTGCATATAATCTGAAAGGAAGCTTATACCCCACCAAATGCATGCTTAATTCTTTTCTGGGATGCCTCTCTTCAAAATATGCTGTTTGAAAGCTGGAGTTTAGAATGTTAGTAGTTCGGAAGATGGCTCCATCATTGCCTGATACAGGGCTGATTTATTTTCGGGAAATATGATAGTTGGGATGAATCTGAGACAGACTATTTTTGCATTATTTTAACCGATCTTAGCATAAAAATCATTCTGTGAGATTTCTGATGCCATTCAAAAACAGGATTCATGAAGATTTATGTAGTAAGTTGTATAGAGAGATATATGAGCTCATGTTTATAAAACTCAACAGTTGTCAGGATGAGAGAATTTCTTTGAGGCTGATGGTGAGGGCTGTCATCCTTGGAGAAAAGGATGGTCCTTGAAGTTGGACTGAAACCTAAGATGGTGAAGATGCTGGCTCTGTAAATTAGGAATGCCTCTAGGCCCATGTATGAAGGTGTTTTATACTCTGTTTGACTGGCAAGTCAATTAATAGTTTATTTGTAACTAATACTTAAGAGTGAAGTATGTTTCTTTCCTGTCACAGCTCTCTGTAGAGTGAACAGGTCCAGATGATCAGTAATTTGAAGGTGGATCTGGAAAACTCTGTAGGCACTGCAGGCATAGTTTCTTGAAGTGAAGCGTACAGCAGTTCTGAAATTGAAAAAGCAAGGAAAAGGGACATGTATTTGTCTCATATTATGACATTCAAAGGGATTTTTTTCTGTATGCCTAAGTATTTCAGGAGGCTAGCAAGCAGTTTTGAATCAGAAATATGGACAAAATGGTAGAAGTACTGCATATGGTGACACAGGAGATCAATAATTATAATGTGTGTGCAGGTACCTTAGTAAAATTATTTTGTAGAAAGTCAGTATGACTTTGCAGAATCACCATTATGTGTTGGGATCCTCATAACTCACACTGTGTTGTGTTTCCATGAGTTTTTTGTTGTTGTTGTTGTTTTGGTTTTTTTATTTTTTTTGCAAGGGGTAGGAAAAGGCACAGTAATATCTGCTGGATTTACTTATTAATAATGTAGTATCTGCAAACTCATAAATTATGTGTCTTGGTTCAGAAATACTGAAACACTAATGAAAACCTACTAGCATTTTATGCAATCTGTATGCACCTAAATTTTCTCCCATTCCTACTGAAGGAGCAAAGTGATTTCTTTATTGGTAGAAGAACAGAGAGATCTCTAAAGCGTGAATTTTCAATTATCCACAGAACTGCTGACTGGTTCAGTGTTTTAGCAAAATCAGCTTCAGCAAGTTATTAGTGCTCTTTTGGTGACATATTGCTGCTCCTCAGTGGTTAAGGAGCAAGGAGAGATCCTGTTACTCATACAGCTTCACTCAAACCATGCAATTATACCATTCTTTTGCTTAGAGAAGTCTTATTAGATGTAGTGATAATTTTAAATTTAGTTGAAAAATATCAAAAGAGAAGTTTTAAATAATAAACTTTTATATGAGTGTATGGCTTGTTGCAGTGTTCATGGGGAAGAAGGAAGCTGAAAGGAGTGAGCAAAGGGGTTCTCAGGTGGGAATAGATGCCATGAGGCAACAAGGAATTGGATGCCAGAAGAGCTGGTTCACATGCATCGTTTACCCATCTTTTATAAAATGTCATTGAGATGCATTGCACTTTATCTGATCCATGGCAGTCATCCCAGTCAAGCAGGTGTGCCATTTATCATGGCGCCGATTAAAAAAAACCATTCTGTTCAAGTTAATTAGAAATTTGAACGTGTGGAACGTTGAACGTTTTTCAAAAGATGAACTATGATATTTGCATTTGAAGTTCATAAACTGAAAAAAAAATTTAGAGTCAAAAATACTTGCTTGTATGTCAGACATTCTTTTCCTGCTCATTTCCGTGTCATTCCAAACCTTCTGCAATATTCAATGTGTGTATTTTGCTGTTCACAGAAAACCTTTAAATAGTTTAATTCTCAAGAAAAATTTTATGGGAATAATGTCAGAGTAAATGTACGTTCCTTCCTTCATTCCTTCCCCCCAGTTGCTAATCCTTCCTAGTCAAAATTCCTTTCTAGAGAGGGTGTTATCATTCAAATACATTTAAGTGACCTAATGAGAATGAAAGCAGAATAACTGGGAGTGCAAAGAAGTGTAGTTGTCAGTCGAGGCTTGCTCTGGATTTAAAATCCTTTTGTCTTTGATATCTAATTGACACTTGGGAGGAGCTGTCTTAATGAAAACACTGTGGACCTCCAAGCTGAGACTGTTTGACTCTGAACTGGGTGGTAGCATGATGGGACAGATTCCTTTACATTTTGTAGTTCTGGCTAAGTAGTGAATGAAAAGTATCAGAATGTATTTCTGGAATGGGAAAATATTAATTTATATTTTCTTCTCCATTTATGAAGTTGTAATAGTAATTTAATGTAGTTTTCTAAAACTACTTCTTCACCAGAGTGGAGAGAGTTGCAGGCCAAACAGCATGATAATTATTTTCTGCTTTTCTACATACTCCAACTTTAAAGATTGTTTCTATATTCTTAAGTTTTATTTTGGGAAGGAATACACAATTCAGTTCTGTAAGCTCCAACACTGAAGTAACTGCCTCCTCAAACTGTAATTGCCTTAAGAACTTCAAAAAGAGGCAGAAACAGAGGTGATTGATTGTTCTCTTTGCCAATTTGGTTAAAGCCTTTTGATAAGTTAGTCAGAAATTTATAAAAAGTAGTCTTAACGAATTTGAAGTTTCTGTTTTGTTTTTGTTTGCTTGAGGTTTGTTTGGTTTTTTTTACTATCATTATTCCTTCACATTAACATTATTCAGTGAAAGTTTTTTTGGTACCCGAATTTCATGAACTCAGTCTTGTGCATTTTTAAAGTTTGAAGCATAGTTTTATTACAGATGACTGGCCAATCAGTTTTGGAACTGCTAAGTAACTTGCAAGTGATCCACGGAAGACTTAACTTGCGTAGAAATTTAAAAACCCCACTATTAAAAAAAATATTGACATTTGTTTAAATATTTTTCCTATTCATTCATTGCTCTAATAAAAGCAAAGACTAACAATAGATTTATGAAAGAATTTGGGATTGTTTTGTTGTTACTTTGTATAGTCGTATGGTAGCAGATACATTACATTGTGAACTTCAGCTGTAAATTTCAAGATAGCAACAGGTTATAACAGCAAGGTGCAGCTTCAGGTTTCAATTATGGGCTTTCTCTTCTGAAAAATTGTGTTTCATTGGATAGTTTCTTACTTGGAGTTAAATATTCTTGAAGTATTTTTCCACTCGAGAGTACTCTCATGGTGTGTTTTTTCCAGTTAAATTGTATCTAAAAGTTGAATAGTGAAAGCTTGCTTTGTTGTTGGAGCTATAGGCACAAATACAGGCTAATGACTGGGTAAGAGAAAAAGCTAGCTTTTTGCAGCAAAACGACCTATCATTCTGTGCAAACAGATACAGGTTAAAGTGAAATATGTTGAATCATTATTGTTTGAAGTATTTAGCCATCAGGCTTTTGATCCATGGAACATAAAATTGCATTGCTTTTAGTTGTACAGTTAGTTCCTAGCTCTTTTCATGCTTTATTGACTTAATTTGAATAATTTAGTCATAGTTTGGTCAGCAGGTAAGTTGAGATCTAGAAAGGAAATTGTACAAAATTAGCAGACCAAGCCAAAATGATGCTTTTAAAACTATGATTTACTGGTTCTGTATTTGCTATGTTTTATCATGTGGTTACTTTTACACCAAAGTTTTTTCAAGTATTACTAAAAGTATCTAAAACTTAAGGACAGATTCTTCATCTCAACAGTAAAACATAAATTGAAATTAATAAAGAGATATTTAGTAATTTTCCTAATTTTTGCTATTACTTGTCAGTTGTAATTCTCCTTGGTTATTTGCTTTTCCTCAGGCAAGTAATAATTTAATATGGAAGTATATCATCAATTCTCATAACAGTTGACTAGCTGGTTTCAGTGGTTTGTTTAATTAGATGGTTTTTCTCTGGTAAATTCATCTTGATGGATATATTTACCTCCATATGGAATTCACAGTCTTTGAAAGCATGAAATAGAATATTCAAGATACAGATGAATTCAAAGAGTTGTTTTACAGTCATGTAGCTGTGTTACTGGTTTATGCCTTAGTTAGGAAGTCAAACATGAATTTCAAATGATGCCCTTAAGTATTTTTCAGGAAATAAGTTCAATCTAAAGTGAATGCTACTTGTGTGCTAAAATGGCAAATGGATTTTTTAAATTTGCCCACAAATGACTGTAGTGTCCTGTATTAGAATTGATATTTCTTCATTTTCTAGTATATAGAATCATCTTGGTTTCTAAGTATTTCTTTTTGGACAAAGGATTTCCTAGCCTTGAGTATTCTTTGTAGAAACTGCCACTTCATTGACATTGACATTTCCCCAGCTCTAACGTTAAACCATAAATAAAGCTGTTTACTGGCAAACGATTGCAGAATCAGCATATGATCCATTGCTACTCACTTTGATGTGCATTTCTCTATGGAAAAAGGATTTCTTTCTCTTTTGTTCTACAGCTCCTCGAAGGAAACTTTGCCAGAGAAGTTAGCCATGAAGTGGATGGACTGATATTTCAGCCTACAGGAGTAAGTAGCATAAAGAATGTATTTTCTCCCTTTAGTCCCAGATGAAATTCTCACTCTCCCTCCCCACTCATCCATCAACTAGCTAATCTTTGTTTTGGTCAGGATTACTTTGCAGTGTTGTTTCTGACTAGTTGTTAATCTCATTTGTAGTATGTGTGATTTCTTACTAACCAATGGTAGTAGTTTCCAGGAATCATCTAATTTTTTTAGAGTATGTACTATGGATGTGCTGCTGGATAATGAAGAGTTTTCTAAGGCTGCATAAATTCCATGAATCTTTCAACCATTGATTTGAGCTCTCATATTATTTGGTTTTTTCAAGGATGTTCACATGTTAAAATTTGTAACTCGTGTTGTTTTAGTGCAATTGGAGCACGATAAATTTTTGAGCCATGTCTGCCAGTGTAAAGGTATATGAGTGGCCTGGGGAGAAGTTACCAGAAGTACTGTGGACAACCAGAAAAATAATGCAAGTGGTTCTCAAGCTACCATGGCCTCAGCCATTCTATTACTCCTGCTGTTGAATTAGATACAGTGGATACACTGCAGTGTGTATTATATATTGGTATAGATCATAGCTGTAGCATCATCCATCTTGACTTTTTTCTTAGCTTGTAAATCACAAGATGGTTTGAGTTGGAAGGGACTGTAGAGATCATCTAATTCCAGTTCCCTACCAGAGGGGTTTAGAGACACCTTTTACCCAATTCAGCCTGGCCTTGAACACTTCCCAGAATGAGCATCCACAGCATCTCTGACCAGCCTGTTTCAGTGCCTGACCACCCTCATAATAAAGAATTTCTTCCTAATATCTAACCTAAACCTACTCTCTTTGAATTTGAAGATACTCTGTCTTGTTCTGTCAGTACATGCCATCGTCAAAAGTCCTTTTTCATCTGTTTTTGTAGGCCCATTTTAGATCCTGGAAGGCTGCTGTAAGGTCTCTCTGGAGCCTTCTTTTCTCCAGGTTAAGCATTCCCACCTCCATCAGCCTGTCTTTATAGGAGAGGTGCTCCAGCCCTGTGATCATCTTAGTGGCCCTTCTGAGGGCTTGTTCTGATAGATCCGTGTCTTTCTTATGTTCTTATGGGGGCCACAGAGGTGGACACAGCTCGCCAGGTGGGGTCTCCTGAGAGCAGAGGGGCAGAACCACCTCCCTTGCCCTGCTGCCCTCACTTCTTGTGGTGCAATGCAGGGTGTGATTGGCTTTCTGGGCTGCAAGTGCACGCTGCCAGCTTATGTTAAGCTTTTCGTCCACAGACACCCCCAAATCTTTCTCCTCAGGGAGAAAGTCTTCATCCATTCTCCACCCAGTCTGTGTTTGTGCTTGGAATTGCCCTGGCCCAGGTGCAGGACCTTGCATTTGGCCTTGTTGAACCTGGATGTTTGCACCAGCCCACCTCAAGCCTGTCAGGGTCCTTCTGGATGGCATCCCTTCCCTCCAGTGTGTTGACTGAATCAAGCAAGGAATTGTTTTCAATTATTTCAAATTTGACAGATATTTCTGTCTTTCCAGTTACTTGTGATAAGTATACATGTGTATACTTTTCCATGAAAAATATGAAACATATTTTTCCTGGTCTACTTTCTATACTGTAGATCTTAGGAAGGGGTGATGACACTCCCATCTGGAAATAAGATGAACCTCTCTATTTCAAGTTCTGCATCAGCTAACTAAGCAATTAGGCCACATACTTTTTAAAATACATAGCTATTTCCAATTTAAGGCTAAGCTAGTAGGGTAAAGGAAGTTCACACTTGCATAAGAAGTTCTGATGATATCTTAGAATATTGTTAGATTTGTTAGCAGAGTTCCTACAGATAAATTTGAAATTACCTCTTCTAGTTGAAATGAACTTACTGAAGAGTGTATCTCTTAGTCACTGTTATAGGACGTCAATATCTGATACGTTTTGTGTTTCTAGAACTTTGTCTTCTGATATAGCAAACTAAAATTTTTATAACCCAACTGAAACAATGGTCTTTTATAAATGCTTATAAAAGTTTTTAATCTTTAATGCATTTGTTTAGTTTAACGTTCAAATTTTAATACCATTTCTGAGTTTATGAAATGAAAGTTTGTTGTATCTGTTATTAAACTGATTTACCTGGATGAAGCAATATGCAGTTTTCTCAGTGTAATGACTTTCTTAGTTGAGAAAGTATGAGTAACATATTTAGAGTGAAAAATATTATCTTAGACCTGTTACTTGGGAAAGAAGCATTAAAGCTGCTTAACTGAAAAGGTTGAAGCTGATAGAGATAGCTTTTTTTTATTACGTGACACAGAGGGAATATATTAATAGGCAACAATACAAGAGCAACAGTATAACAGTGCATAAATGACCCCTTGAGAATACTAACTGAAATAATTTTTGTGTTGTAGTTGAATGCATGATGTATTAGATCTTTTCAGAGAGAAAACAACAACCCTCTGTTGTTGATTGGGGTGTAGAGCCCTGAATTTTGGTTATTGTGAGAGTTAGAGACTTTTATAAAACCTGTTTGTCTCAAGTGAAGAGACCGTGGCATATCCAGAAGAAAATGAAGAAATTATGAACTGTATTTATTGACATAATTGATCTTGCAGAAAGAAAGGATACACAGAAATGATGCTGAGTTTTTGAAGATCAGGGAAATTCAAGAACATCTTTTGGGAGCTCCTGAAATCTGGTGTGTGTTTTGAGGAGTACACAAATGTAGACAGGAATTGAAGCAAAATCACGAAGAAGAATGAAGTGGCAGCAGAGGAAGATAAACAGAATGTCAACATGTACAGACAGAAATTTCTTTGGGGAAAATTACCCACACTTACCATATTGTTGATAGGTGAAGCAGAATGCAGAAGTTAACTATTTAATACAAGGAATGTTGAGCTTATTAGTTCATACTGTTTGAAAGTACTTTCCGAGTTCCCCTTTCCCTCTGCCCCAGTTTACTCAGAGATGTTCCTGGTCTTAGACAAAGGTATCCAGACTTGAGTATGTGGATATTCCCCACTAGCTACAGGCAGCACTAGTACTGGGAGTCAATATGGATGGAGAAAGATTATTTTGTTGTTTTGAAGTTTGATTTAATTCTGATTTTCAATAAAACTCAAAATATCCAAAATTATCTGTGAATATGCTTTTAGCCTCTAAGAACTCTTGGTTTTCTCACTTTTCTCTTTGGTTTGAAGAGATTTTGGCATCAGGGGCCTCTGTGTTAGTCCAGTTTTGAGAAATTGGTATGCTTTAATGAAAAGGGATTTGTGAAAAAGTTTTATTACTGAATATAGGGTTTCAGTTAGATGTAAGAGGGTTTGTTTTCTTCTGTTACTATTCCTATGTAAACTCTTACTATGAATAGCAAGGTTCTTGTACTGGAACAGAAATTATTTTGCACTGTGACTGATTATGGTAGAAACAACATTAAGGAGTGAGGAGATTGTTTTCTGCCTGTGCAGGTCCCTTTATTTTGCAAGATCAGACTAACTGAGCATTATTATTTCTAATTCATTGGTTACTTGAGTTACTTGTATTGGTTATTGCTTGGGGTATATGAAGGCTTTCATTTCAGTGACAGCTGAAAGGCAATGGCTGGGGCATCCCATCTCCTTCCCATTTCCTCCCTTCTCAGTCTGAAAGCTTTCACAGATCTTGAGAAGAGCATTTTTAGTGGAAGTGATGGATGTTTTGGCCTCGTTCATGATTTAAGAATGCTTTGTAGGTAGCTTGATGTGATGTGTAGTTCTTATGCAATTCCCGCATTAACACATCATACTCTTAACAATTCCATCGAAAGAGACAAATGTTTTCTTATTGTTGCTTCTTGCTTTGTACTCTTTTCTTTTACTCTTTCTCTCTTCATGCATTCTCTTTATCCAGCAGCCCATTTCCTCATTGCTTTTGATTTCCCCTTTCCATTGCTTCTCCCTGACACTTCTTTTCCCTACGTCATTGTCTATCCATATAAGATCCTATCACTATAACTCCCATATGCCTTATGCAGCTCTATTCTGTCTGATCAACTTTCTGGTTCCTCTGCCTGTAACAGGTTGGCAGAGCAGGGCCAGAAGATAAGTGCTGAGTAGGAGTAAAACAGCAGCAGGGAACTTCATGGACAGGTATCTCACCCTGGGATCATGCCCCAGACAATAAGTGAGTTAGTTTAAAGGTGAAAGCCTCGTGCCTTATTTATAGATTTTGAATGCTTGTGTAAAGATTGGAAGCTTTCAGTCCTTTTTTTTAAAGTTCCTTCAAAACAGCAAACTTCTTATATTTGTTTTAGAACATTTGCAGGTTACCAACCTGTATGTTTTTAATGAGAATCTCAGAAATGGCTTCTTCTGATGGCAGAATTGGCTCTCCGGCCTCTGCCCACTCATCAGTGAAATTACTTTACTTTACCTTGTAAATCCTACCTTTGCTAGGTATCTCAGATTGTCTAATTTTTATGCTAGTAATGTCCTAACAACCAGCTTTCTTGCTGACTGAAACTATTACTTTTCCTTTGCTTAGGAAATTACGTAGTAATTATTTTGTTACTTTAGCCAACTAAATGAAGACTCACTGGCCATCAGTTAGAAAGGCCTAAGGTCAGCTTTTGAGCATCTGTGGAAAGCTTGTATCACAATTTAAAAGCTTTTGTTTTGTGTTTGCCTCCTGAGTGCTGTTACATTTTTGCATTGGCTGATTTCTGTTTGGTACTCTTCCATGCTCTTATTTTGGACGAGGAATAAAGTCCATTTGTGTGGAATTGGGATTTTTTAGAGGGAAGGATGAAGGGCAGTTGCTGAGCTCTGTTCTTCTAAGATAAATGTTATTTTAAAGAAGAGCTGAATTATTTAACACTACTGAATACTAATGCAAAGCTTAGCCTTTAAAATGAAAGAAAAATGAGCAGGTTTTTATAACTGAATAACATTGCATGAGTTATTACTATATCTTCCTTCCTTTCCCTTGGCAGACTTAGTGGTGATCTGAAATGCTTGGTTGCCTGTTAATTATTTGTGCTATTCC